GGGTCACATGAACACACATCAGGGGTCACATGAACACACAAGTCAGGGGTCATATAAAAACACAAGTCAGGGGTCACATGAACACACAAGTCAGGGTCGCATGAACACACAAGTCAGGGTCGCATGAACACACAAGTCAGGGTCGCATGAACACACAAGTCAGGGGTCATATAAACACACAAGTCAGGGTCACATGAACACACAAGTCAGGGGTCACACGAACACACAAGTCAGGGTCGCATGAACACACAAGTCAGAGGTCATATAAACACACAAGTCAGAGGTCATATAAACACACAAGTCAGAGGTCATATAAACACACAAGTCAGAGGTCATATAAACACACAAGTCAGAGGTCATATAAACACACAAGTCAGAGGTCATATAAACACACAAGTCAGAGGTCATATAAACACACAAGTCAGGGTCGCATGAACACACAAGTCAGAGGTCATATAAACACACAAGTCAGGGTCACATGAACACACAAGTCAGGGGTCACATGAACACACAAGTCAGGGTCGCATGAACACACAAGTCAGGGTCGCATGAACACACAAGTCAGGGTCGCATGAACACACAAGTCAGGGGTCACATGAACACATAAATTGAGGGTCGCTTGAACACACAAGTTGAGGGTCACTTGAACACACAAGTTGAGGGTCACTTGAACACACAAGTTGAAGGTTACTTGAACACACAAGTTGAGGGTTACTTGAATAAACAAACCGGGGGTCACTTGAACACACAAGTTGAGGGTTACTTGAACACACAAGTTGAGGGTTACTTGAACACACAAGTTGAAGGTTACTTGAACACACAAGTTGAGGGTTACTTGAATAAACAAACCGGGGGTCACTTGAACACACAAGTTGAAGGTTACTTGAACAAAAAAACTGAGAGTCACTTGAACACACAAGTTGAGGGTTACTTGAACACACAAGTTGAGGGTTACTTGAACACACAAGTTGAGGGTTACTTGAACACACAAGTTGAGGGTTACTTGAACACACAAGTTGAGGGTTACTTGAATAAACAAACCGGGGGTCACTTGAACACACAAGTTGAAGGTTACTTGAACACACAAGTTGAAGGTCACTTGAACACACAAGTTGAGGGTTACTTGAACACACAAGTTGAGGGTTACTTGAACACACAAGTTGAGGGTTACTTGAACACACAAGTTGAGGTTTACTTGAACACACAAGTTGAGGGTTACTTGAACACACAAGTTGAGGGTTACTTGAACACACAAGTTGAGGTTTACTTGAACACACAAGTTGAGGTTTACCTGAACACACAAGTTGAGGGTTACTTGAACAAAAAAACTGAGGGTCACTTGAACACACAAGTTGAGGGTTACTTGAATAAACAAACCGGGGGTCACTTGAACACACAAGTTGAGGGTTACTTGAATAAACAAACCGGTGGTCACTTGAACACACAAGTTGAGGGTTACTTGAATAAAGAAACCGGGGGTCACTTGAACACACATGTTGAGGGTTACTTGAATAAAGAAACCGGGGGTCACTTGAACACACAAGTTGAGGGTTACTTGAATAAACAAACCGGGGGTCACTTGAACACACAAGTTGAGGGTTACTTGAATAAACAAACCGGGGGTCACTTGAACACACAAGTTGAGGGTTACTTGAATAAACAAACCGGGGGTCACTTGAACCCCCAAGTTGAGGGTCACTTGAATAAACAAACCGGGGGTCACTTGAACCCCCAAGTTGAGGGTCACTTGAATAAACAAACCGGGGGTCACATGAACACAGAAACTGAGGGTTACTTGAACAAAGAAACTAGGGGTCACTTTGTCAACGACCTTATTTCTGTCGTAAAGGCATATACGTTGTAGGCGCGGTGACAGACAAATCTACCTCCACAGTTCAGGTCCTGACTTCGGGGGACTCATGAATTTCCCCAAGCGAAAAACTCAGTCCATCATAAATTATACAGTTGTCTGTTCATCTGGCTGACCTCCGGGGTCATGTCTTGGTCACTAAGTGCAGACATGAAGATACACCACTATCATTCCCTTCATCACATACCTGCACTAGACTCTGACATGCTTGAACACACAAGCTGAGGGTTACAAACAAACGGGGGCATTGAATTCACATATCTTTTCATCTCATGCTCACGGCTGTGAACTCCAGTGGATATGCTGTGTTTGTTCATCCACTTCCCGACTTCCAGAAATTGAGTTTTGCATGCACATCCAATTCATAGATAGGACTTAATTTTATGCAGACTGTTGGTTCCTCGCCTTTCAGACAGAGGCACTCTGACTTCAGAGGATACACTCTTAATTAGTCACCTTTACGATATGCTTGTTATGGGGGAAGTGGGCCTTTTCTCCCCCTCCCCCCAATGGGTCCCCAGAACCCATAAGGAGAATTATTTCAGACATAACGAGTCTTCACAGGAGAAGATGTCCGACAGTTTGGCATCATGGAATATAAAAATATTTTGTATCCGATATGACTGACAGCAAACAACACAGAAGGCTGTGGATAATGACTGGCCGCTGACAGAACGTCGCTGCTCAAAAACATCATCATGAAAATAAACTGTATACTAATCTAAATAAATGTTAGCATAAGTTAACTTACCACCACAAGGCCCACCAGACTGCTGACTGAAAATAAATTAACATTAACAAAGAACTGTTAAAAGATACAACATTCATTTATTAAAATTATGTAAAATAAAGTAAAGGACATTTTCTAAACCTACGGGCATACTGGGCACACAGACCTATATTTTAAAGACCAATCGGCACAAGGTGGGGGATGTGGTCAATATCACGCCGGATGCCTTTACTTCCCAGGACTTTATATGGCACCCAGTTAATGCTGGGTCAACCTTGCAGACAAGGTCATTTTTTTGTTTTTGTTTTTCACAGTCCAGATTCATTTAGATTTGAGCTTACAACCTTCAGATCCTTAGGCAAGTGTCTAACTGCTATACTACGGCAGATCCAATGTTAAAATTAATCACTTATTCATTTATGTTTACATTTTTCTTATGACAGGTCTGACAGCAAGTGGCTAGCACACTTGTGATCATGTGTTCAATATGGACAGTGAGAGAATAAACAATGGCAAAAAACAATAGCAAATAACATATTTCACATTGTACCTAAAATATCTGGAGTTTAGGTATTGTAAACGTGGTTTGTAATTTTGAGGTACCCATTCAATCTGGCAGCCTGCTTTACTTTGTTTTCGACAGTAGTATCAAGAGTCAACCTTTCAGAAAGCAATGACAAACTCCTGATTGTAAAATTGCAATATAAACTCATGAACAGCCAAAAAATGCTGGGGTTGGTTCTGCAACGTCTTGAAAAGGAAACCCACCTAACTTAACCTAAAACTATGCTACAGTGTAATTTAATTCTCTGCCCTCAAATAACTTGACAATGTGGACTGTTCTGCGTTTGTAAAAAATTATCAGTCTGAACTGAATTTAAACTGGAAATACAGGCTCACTGCCATTGAGCTGATAAACATTAACACGACAAAACTCAGCAAAAAGAAAAATTTAGAGTTATTCCAATTTTTCTATATGTAATATTAGGAACAAAGCAATGGCAAACAACTGAACGTAAATTTGCCTAGAAAAACCACACAACAGCGAGGGGCTGTTGGGGTTGGTTCTTCAACGTCCTGTAAAGAATACTCAACTAACCAATATTAGGAACATTCATTTGAAAGCCATTCCAACGGCTTCACTATACAAAGATGAAAGAAACATCAACAGGTGTGACAGAACTTAAAAAGCCTTCATTCTGAATAAATGATCCACCATGTGCTCCTCACCACAGGCATTCAGGCAAGCATCCCATTGCTAAGGAAGGTGCTGAATCAACATCAATCTTCTTCGTGTGCCGTTAGATGTCTCATAGGGCTCGCATTCGATTCCACCACTAAACTCTATTGCATGCAACTTTCTCGATTTCTTACAAGTTCAGACGTTCTCCTAATAATGTTCTTCTCAATGTCTCCCTTGGATGTCTTTTTTCTCTCAGACTGTTTGTTTCCCATTTAAGTGCTTGTTTTGTAATTCATTGCTCATTCTGTCTCAGAGTGTGTCCAGTATATCTCCAACTTCTTTTACTTATTGCAGTTGACACAGGGATTGGTCCATACATTTCTCTGATATCACTTTTTTAAAATTCATCTTATTTTATGTTCCAGATTTTTCTCATACATTTATTTGCAAATGCAGTTGACATTCATTTTATATTTTTGGTAGCTCTCCAACTTTCACCGGCATATGTCAGAAACTGAATAACATTAGAATTGAAGATTTGTAGTTTGATCTTAAAGGGATAACTTAGAGCACCATATTTTGTTAAAGCTTTTAAATACTATTGTTGCTTTACTAATGTGTATCGCAATTTTTTTTCTTGCATTTCCTTGAGTCAAAATGGCTACCCATAAGGTGAAATGGTCAGTTATTTTTTGGGAGGTTTGTTCTTTAACATGACAAGGTGGTGAATGCCATCTGCAACAACAACAAAACAAAAAAAAGGATTGTGGTTGCTCACTGAACCAAGTGATTACCATGTTCATTATGATTGCATCTATTCCCACTGTGAACAACACCTTCTGATATTGCTTATGAAAAACCGTTTGAACTGTCTTAATTGACACATAAAATTCTTTTGCTAGCAAATGCAGGCTTTGATAACGGGTGCTTTTTACTTTTGCATCATTTTTGCAGATGGTGTTTTCCTGATACAATGATATGCATTTCACCTTGACTTGAAAGATCTGTCATAAACATATCTTTGCTGACACAATTGTGACCAGTTTGTCACTGTTTTAAGAAACATATGTTTGTTACCCTACGCTGTCTGCATTCTTCGACGGATGTCCACTGATCAATAGCCTTCAGATGAAACAAACTAAAACACCGCTTTTTTTAGCTCCTTGACTGATTTTAGATCAACCCTGCAATTTTCTCAATGGTCAGAAATTGAACCTATGCATCACAAGGCTCACAAGATGCATCACGAGACTCACAAGATGCATCACAAAGCTCACAAGATGCATCCCGAGGCTCACAAGATACATTACGAGGCTCACAAGATGCATCACAAGGCTCACAAGATACATCATGAGGTTCACAAGATGCCTCACAAGGCTCACAAGATACATCACGAGGCTCACAAGATGCATCATGAGGCTCACAAAATGCATCACAAGACTCACAAGATGCATCATGAGGTTCACAATATGCATCACGAGGCTTACAAGATGCATAACGAGGCTTACAAGATGCATCACAAGGCTCACAAGATGCATCATGAGGCTCACAAGATGCATCACGAGGCTCACAAGATGCATCATGAGGCTCATAAAATGCATCACAAGGCTCACAAGATGCATCATGAGGCTCACAAGATGCATCATGAGGCTCACAAGATGCATCATGAGGCTCACAAGATGCATCAGGAGGCTCACAAGATGCATCACAAGGCTCATAAAATGCATCATAAGGCTCACAATATGCATGATGAGGCTCACAAGATACATCACGAGGCTCACAAGATGCCTCACAAGGCTCACAAGATGCCTCACAAGGCTCACAAGATACATCATGAGGCTCACAAGATGCACCATGAGGCTCACAAGATGCATCAGGAGGCTCAAAAGATGCATCACAAGGCTCATAAAATGCATCAGGAGGCTCACAAGATGCATCACAAGGCTCACAAGATGCATCATGAGGCTTACAAAATACATCACGAGGCTCACAAGATGCATCACAAGGCTAACAAGATGCATCATGAGGCTCACAAGATGCATCATGAGACTCACGATGCATCATGAGACTCACGATGCATCATGAGACTCACAAGATGCATCATGAGGTTCACAAGATGCATCACAAGGCTCACAAGAAGCATCATGAGGCTCACAAGATGCATTATGAGGCTCACAAGATGCATCATGAGGCTCATAAAATGCATCACAAGGCTCACAAGATGCATCATGAGGTTCACAAGATGCATCATGAGGCTCACATGATGCATCACGAGGCTCATAAAATGCATCATGAGGCTCACAAGATGCATCATGAGGCTCACAAGATGCATCACAAGGCTCACAAGATGCATCACGACGCTCACAAGATGCATCACGAGGCTCACAAGATGCATCACGTTGCGATAAGCACATGCTCTTTTATTATATGGTTATTTTATTCGGTGGTCAGTACTTATCGCATGACTATGACATGATCTTGTTAAGCTCACACAAACTTCTAATATATATATATATACATATATCTATCTATATTGTAACAGTCTTTAGGTTTTTGTCACAGAATGGTTTTCCTTCTGATGTTCAACAGAGTAACAATCAGGCTCACAGTAATTGAGTTTCTACAATTTTACAAAGTAAAAAAAATTACCTGTAGTCACCTCAAATTTAATCTAACTTTTTAAAAAACCACAGAAAATTATATTAGGTATATATTAAATGCACACTGCTAATGCAAACTTTGGCGGGCGGGGGGGGTTAAATATAAATGTTAAAAATTCCTACGTGATGAATGCTTGTACATGCTATGACTATCAGATATGCTAAGACTGCAATTGATTACAATTTCTCCACAAGGGAATGTGATGGCATTCTCTGTGACTACTGTTGGCATAGAAAGGGAACAACTATGGGTTGACCCGTTTGCTATGAATTTAAAATTGCAATTGCCTGTTACCAGGAATGAATAAAGATGCTCTAATACAGACTGTAGAACAGTCAGCACTTTATTATTCATCAAATCCAATTGTAATGCCAGCCAAATGATTCAATTGTAATATTACTAATTTACTATAGATGGGCACAGGATATAAGTGACTCCTTGAGTGTGAAAGTTCATGAGGCGGGAGAACTAGCGAAAGACCGAGTTTCTTTCAGGCAGACTGTGATGAGAGCGACGTTCTGCAAAGGACCTGCTACATGATGATGATGATGACTACAGATCTTGCCTGGGAAAGCCCAACTGAATCTTGTAATGGTGTACTTTTGGGTTTTGAAAATTTGTTTCTATCAGCATTATCACTCAACTCCTACAACACATTCATTATATTGTTATTACTCATGTTTGCTACTGCAGTCCTCAGACAGAGGTTGAACAAGTTGAAGCACTGACTCTACTGTCTGCATTGTGACCCCATGCCATACTATACAAGGCAGTGTAACCATCCTGAAAAGTGTCTGGGAAGCAAAGGTAATGGGGTAGGGAACTGGCCCACCTTACTCTAAATGCCATGACCTACAATATATGAAGATCCAACATTTTCACCAGTACTGTCTGCAATGGGACTACCCTGACCTTTAATCCTCCATATGAAAGATCTGCAATCAAGATGGCCCAGATATAGAACTCTTCTGTATCTAAAGTTTATCACTTACTGATGAGATTACACAACAGCAGATAGTAGGATCCGTTGACTTTGCTTCCTTGCACGATGCACAAGATCACAGCAATCTGAAACAAATAAGTAATGGCAATCAGGTACAGATTTGCTACAGCACTGAAAATACTCTCATGATGAGTAAAGTAAAGGGACCCTTCTCCGCGCCTTCAGGCATATAGCCCCGGACCTATGTTTTATAGACCAATCAGCACTAGGTGGGTGATGTGGTCAACCTAATGTGTCACCTTTACTTCCCAGGACTTTACCTGGTAACCATTTATGGCCGGTTGCCTTGGGAGCCAAGTTTAGTTTTTTTTAAAGTCCGGCTTTATCAGAACCAAATGATTAAGCATAATAACAATTAACCTTTATTAGAGTTTAGAATCAACATAATTCAACATGAGGTATTCCCATAAACATGATGTCCTTATCTTCAACAGTCAGTGCAAAGTTCCAATATTGATGATGTCAATTATAGTCTGTATATTTATTTTTGCCTGTTCCTCACTCATATTTGCATCATTCTTTCTAGGATGTGGTGATCTTTACATCTTTTGTGTTCTTCTGGTCTTCCAAAGGGCCACTGCTAAATTTTCCAGGGGGATAAATGGGCTATATAAAATCATTAGGGAAACCAAAAACATTGCACATAAATACTTACAATGACCATCACTAGAGTGATAACGTTGACAATTCGGACAGCCCAATTCTGAGAAGAAAACAAAATTAACAAAATAACAGTTTACCGCCTTTGTATTTGTCCTTAAATAGTGCGGGTTTAAATGCAAAAGTAACATCATTCTTTTTCTTTATTAGTACTTCTCTCAGTTCCAGTTCTTCTTCTTTGAGCTCAAGTTCTTCTTCTCTGAGCTCAAGTTCTACTTCTCTGAGCTCAAGTTCTTCTTTTCTGAGCTCAAGTTCTTCTTCTCTGAGCTAAAGTTCTTCTTCTCTGTGCTAAAGTTCTTCTCTGAGCTCAAGTTCTTCTTCTCTGTGCTAAAATTCTTCTCTGAGCTCAAGTTCTTCTTCTTGAGCTCAAGTCCTACTTCTTTGAGCTCAGGTTCTTTTCCTCTGAGCTGAAGTTCTTCTTCTCTGAGCCGAAGTTCTTATCTGAGCTCATTCTACTTCTCTGAGCTCAAATTCTTCTTCTCTAAGCTTTTTTCTCTGAGCTGTTCTTCTGCTCTGAGCTCAGGTTCTTCTCCTTTCCTCTTCTGCCTTTTATCACCGAATGGAGCATAGGCCCCAGTGGCAAGAGGTAATCAAACTGCATGTGTAAGCATCAGCAGGCAACAGTTACCCTATAGAGGGTATCATGTGATATTTTCCTCCTATTCTTTGCTTCCCCTGACAGCCCCAGTAACATAAAGGCACAGAGGTCAACTAAGCTTCAAAGGAGATAGAGATGACCGCTTTACCCCTGTGAAAGGGTCCTTTGACCCCCAAAAATGGTCACGACCCGTAGGCAGAGAACCGCTGTCTCAGATCCTTTAGGGTCCATATTGGGTTAATAAGTTGTCTCTGGATTCAGAGACAATTGGCTACGGCTTCAGGACGGATGAAAGAAGAAGTGGTCAGCATCCTTTGTTAGGGATGAGAAACAACATTACTTTGCACTAAAAAATTAATAATTTTCTCCATCTCTGGATGAGAAAACACCAGCTTAATGTGTAAGCAACTGTGTTCTCTCTCTCTACCTAGCATGCAGCTTCTTATCTCAGACATGTGACTACGAGCACAACAGCAAAACGCGGACTCACTGGAACAGTAAAACATGGAGTTCCATGCATGGAATTTTTTTTTTTTCATGATGGCTACTAACATTAGGCTTGAGAATGTTATGGTGTAAAGAAAGAATTCAAGAAAAAGTATTGTTATAGTGAAGGTTATGGATAATATTAATACTGAATGAACAAATGGAGTGTAGAAGTGCCTTACAATAGTCACTGCTGATTGAAGGTAACACTTCTTCTGTGTTATTTACCGAACAATACACTGAAGGTTACACTATTTCTGTGTTATTTACTGAACATGATATACCGAAGGTAACAGTACTTCTGTATTATTTACTGAACTTGATATACCGAAGGTAACTGTACTTCTGTCTTATTTACTGATCTTGATATACCGAGGGTAATGATACTTCTGTGTTATTTACCTAATTTGATAGAACCAAAGGTAACTGTACTTATGTCTTATTTCCTGAACTTGATTTACAGAAGGTAACGTTACTTCTGTGTTATTTACTAGACTTGATATACTGAAGGTAATGCTACTTCTGTGTTATTTACTGGACTTGATATACTGAAGGTAACGCTTCTTCTGTGTTATTTACTGGACTTGATATACTGAAGGTAATGCTACTTCTGTGTTATTTACTGGACTTGATATGCTGAAGGTAATGCTTCTTCTGTGTTATTTACTGGACTTGATATACTGAAGGTAACGCTTCTTCTGTGTTATTTACTGGACTTGATATACTGAAGGTAACGCTACTTCTGTGTTATTTACTGGACTTGATATACTGAAGGTAATGCTTCTTCTGTGTTATTTACTGGACTTGATATACTGAAGGTAACGCTACTTCTGTGTTATTTACTGGACTTGATATACTGAAGGTAACGCTTCTTCTGTGTTATTTACTGGACTTGATATACTGAAGGTAACGCTACTTCTGTGCTTCTGACTTGACTAAATAATTAACAATACATAGGTTTTCCCAATTTTTGATACAAACATTTTTTTTGGGTCCACGTTCAAGTGTGATCCTCATTATGATCAGTGTCCTGCATATAATTTGCGGAAACCTATCTGCAGCTGTTTCTCCTATGGATGTATCTTATCCTTATCTTAACAGTAGGGTTGTGGATTACCATAGACGCTATGCAGGCAGTAGCCCGCCACTTCCGACATGGGAACTCGACCTTTTTGCGTCCATGAAAAAAAATTTTTAGTGGACATCTGTTGTATATATATATTATTTGGTACACTTTACCGAGATTTAAATATTGATATTAGTTTTAGGAGTTATTTAACTGATTTCTAGCTGTGAAACCATATGTTTCCAACTCGCATTCTCAAGTTGACTATTGACAATTTGCTGAAAGGTATGTACAAGTTTCTCAATATCTCTCAACAGGAACATATTTCAGCAAGTGTTGAAAACAAGATTTTAGGTACCACATTCTCTTACTTCAGACCCATGATCCAACATTTGATTTCATAATTAATAAATCACTACATACAAGTAATTTTGTTCCAGGAAGTACAAAATTCATTTCTATTAACTCTCTGAGTCCCAGGGGTTTCAGCATCACAGGCCCAAGGTCATAAAATCGGTGCTTTGTGCGTTCTTTGGGTTTCTAGGTAGGAACCTATAAACGTATGATGCTTTCTTTGGGACTCAAAGAGTTA